CAAGCGCAAACATGAACTCTATTCTCAGTTCGACAAGCGATCAGAATAGAAACAGAAGACGCGTGCTGCAGGCAGTGTGTGTTTACTGTGGGACATTGCACTGCAGACACCAGCTTTAAACGACCACAGACGCTTCTGTGAGGAGAGAAAACTAGACATTTAAGCTAAAAGATTAGATCGGTTTCACCTGCACTGTTAAAAACAGCGACTATTGCCTTAAAAAGACATTTCTTTCTGAATTAACCTGTAAATTAATTGGTTTGTAAACACTAAATCATTCATTTATGGGTTAATTCGGGAAGAAATGTGTTAAATGATATTGGACCACAAACAGGCTTCTGGAGCACAAAACCAGTCAATATTCTGAAATCTTGAAATCTGAAAGTTGAATAATAATCTTTCCATTGATGTATGGTTTGTTAGGATCGGACAATATTTGAAAATCTGGAATCTGAGGGTGCAAAAAAATCTAAATATTGAGAAAATCATCTTTAAAGTTGTTCAAATGAAGTTCTTAGCAATGCATATTACTAATCAAACATTAAGTTTTGATATATTTACGGTAGGAGATTTACAAAATATCTTCATGGAACATGATCTTCACTTAATATCCTAATGATTTTTGTCATAAAAGAGAAATGTATAATTGTGACCCATACAATGTATTGTTGGCTATTGCTACAAATATCCCCCAGCGACTTAACACTGCTTTTGTGCTGCAGGGTCACATTTATGACCGGAATAAAGCCATTTAGTTGACATGTTATCTAATTAAGTTAGCATTTTTTTCATTGTGGTTTAAACAAGTAGTTGACTTTTTAACAAACGAAGATTAACGTTAAAGTTGGCCTGGTTATTCACGCAGAAAAATACTTATTTTTACATTTTTAGTGTCACATTATATTCACTCATCAAGTAAATAAATAAATATACTTCTCGTCCACTAGAGGACACTCATAGACTGAGATATGTGTGGAATCTTTTAATCTACAGGACAAAATGTTGATGGGAACAGAGCATCAGTGTATATTTTAGTGCCATAAATATTTTGAAACATTTACAGTCAGTGAATTAACGCACTCACAACATTTCATAAGGAGCCAGCATCAATCAGAAATGTGTTTGCAGAGACGGTGGAGCTCAGATGATGAGAGGAAATGTATTAGAACATTTACATCTGGCTAACAGAAGTTATGAACAAACGTTCTTCCAGTAATGTTAATAGAACGTTTGTTCCGAGTTATCTGGTGTTTAATAATGCTCTCAAAGCATTAGCACAAAACATTATTTATAGGCTACATCGAGTATGAATGTTCTTTCTGAAACTTTTATTTGGACGTCCGTCTAATGTTTTTTTAAATGTTACTGCTTGTTTAAGAACATTCAGAGAACATTCAAAAGTAACGTTCCCATAATGTTTCAAAATGATCAAATGGAATGTTCACTTAACATTTGCGTAAACAAAAAGAAACATTTTTAAAACCTTTAAAAAACTGGATGTTCAGAGAACGTTTAGAAATAACCTTATACTGGGTATTATATTCTCAGTTCATGTCAAAAGTGTGTGTGTGTGCGCGTGTGTTTTTGTGACAAATGAGGACATAAATGTGTATAATGACAAAGGTATGACAGGTATTACAAGGAGAAGGTGACTTTTCAGGACATTACCCCATGTCTCCACTTTTCAAAACGCTTATAAATCACACAGAATGGAGTGTATTGAAAATCTGAAATAGCAGAAAGTCTCCTGTGAGGGGTAGGTTTAGGGGTAGGGTTGGTGTAGGGCAATAGAATATACGGTCTGTACAGTAGAAAAACCATTACGCCTATGGAGAGTCCCCACTTTTCACAAATGTAAACCTGTGTTTGTGTGTGTGTGAGTGTGAGTGTGTGTGTGTGTGTGTGTGTGTTTACTGTAGTTTAATAGGACAGTTCACCTCAAAATTAAAATTTTGTCATCATTTACTCACCCTCATGTAGATCCAAACCTGTATGTGTTTCAAAAGAAGGTATTTTGAAGAACTTTGGTAACCAAACAGTTAACGGCAGCTACTGACTTCCATAGTATGGAATTGACAGTTTGCTTACCAACACTCATCAAACGTTCTTCATTCTTTTGTGTTCAGAAGACGAAAGAAATTCATATAGGAACAGTGAATGATGACCGAATTATCATTTTTTGGTGAACTGTTCCTTTAAGGGCAAACACACACACACACACACACACACACAC